ACGCCGCAGAACAAATGGCACAGAAGCCGTATTGATCGCAGTGGTTGCTAGGTGGTTGCTAGGGGCGGCGCCGTAATGTCATGCCTCTGTCATGCCTCTGTCGACCGCGCGCGGCAGCCTGCGTCGCGCGTGAGGGGGGAGCACCCTGTAACACGTGGTCGTTACACTTCTCCCCCCACTAAACCGATGACCACCCTGTGGACATCGAATGCCAGCCTCCGGGCTGGCCGTCCACAGGGAGGGGGGAAGGTGGCTGTCGATGCAGTAACCGCGCGCTATTAACATCTGACTAAAGGTAATCCCGTAATACTGCATTTTCATTTTACATTTCACATTTTACGCGTAATACATTTAACACCTAGTAGTATAATATGGTAATCATGGTAATATGGTAATATGGTAGCATAATGTAGTAACATAACATAATATAGTAATATAATGGTACAGAATAATGCAAGAACGACTTATACGCCACGATCTACCTAGTTGGTGTTTGTGTCCTGAAGGGACTTATCCTGATGCTTATGCGTCATGGTTGCATTGGTTAGCTGGTGCTCGTCGTCGTCTTGATGGTCGGCCCCGTTGGGGGTGGCGGCCGCTCGCGACATGGCGTCCAAGATGGCCGCTGCGGCCATCTGGCGGACGTGTTGTGGGTTAAATGTCGTCCGCGCAGGGTCGTCCTCCTCGCCGACGATGAACTCATACAGTGTTGGGTCTGAGTTCGTGCCCGTCCCGATGAAGCGGCCGGCGTAATAGCGGTCGGGGGGTGGTGGTGCGGGGCTCCACGGATCGTCGTCGGAGTCCTCCGGGGAGGTGTCGTCGTCGGTGGGGTATCCGGTGGTGTCCGGCTCCGGGTAGGCGTAGGGGTTGTACGTCTGCGTCATGCCATTCCTGCGTGCCTGCGGCGGGGCAGAGAGCGCGCTTTCTCCCGGCCCCACGGCGCAGACTTCGCATTCGCAGGCGGCGCCGGCGGCTATGGTGCTGGCGCCTACGGCGCAGACGGCGCATCCACAGGCGGCGCTGGCGCCTGCTGCGTAGACCGCGGTGGCCGTGGCGCAGGCGGGGCAGGCGCAGGCGGAGGTGCCGAGGGCGCAGATGGCACAGGCGCAGTCGGCGTAGGCGCAGGCGGTGTTGGCGCCCGTCTGCGACGGAGGCAGCGGCGCTGATGGTCGCTGTCCATTG